TCTCACCTCAGCCTCCCAAAGGCGCGGGATTACAGGCTGAGCCACCGAGCCCGGCTGGATACCATGTTCTTATTTGTTCACTTTAGTAATGCAATCTCCTTACTTCTTGCCTTATTAGTGGTAGCACTTGCCTTTCAACCCATGAGCGAGGTGTATTAGCACCCATCAGGGTTTTGCGTCTCACGTTGCCACTAGTAAAAGTATACTTGATGGTAATAGTCTAGTACTCTATCCAAAGTTGGTTTCACACCTTTCTCAGATAGCCACCTTCTTATTCAACACACTGTGATAGGGAGCTATCCAAAAAGGTGTGATTCCCAACTCCCTGACAGGTAAACCAAGCTGTTACAACCCAGGAGACCTGAATTAAATTTCCATTCACCTTTGTCTATACTTACCAAGGGAAGTCTTATTTCCAAATTGAATTGTCTACAAATTAATTTTTGTCCCTGTAATTGAAGAAGCTGGCGTAGCATGTCCAGATAGGCTTAGACTGCTAGCTTTGACTTCAGTAGAGGGCAAAATCCATGCAAGACAGTACCAAAGATGTATTTTGACTAAAATTTTTCAAGTAGCCTGGTTTTTCCCCACCTGATAGAAGTTGCTACATCTTTCCAAACAGGTTCTCTAATGATCTTGCTTCACCATGGCTACAAATTTGGAGGGGCTGGTTCAGCACAGAGTGGGGACCCAGCAGGTGGCTGAGGTGAGTGACAGGGGCTAGCACAATAACTAGCACCCTTGCTTTTGAAAGGAAAGAGAAATCAGTGTATTCTGTTGTTTCAAAACAGTCTGGAGAAAGTCAGCATGTGATTCAAATCCAAAGTAGGATGCTTCCATCAAAAAAATTAAAATTACAAGAATATTTATTTGTAACATTTCTGTCCATAAGTAGGGTAGCCTAACTGCATATAATAAGGTGACTTGAAATTTTCCCTTCAACCAAAAACAAAGAATCTGACTATTTTCCTTTTTTTTTTTTTTTTAAAGAAAAAAAGAATCTGATTCTTAATTGAACACATGGGTATAGTTTTAGCTCCAAGGCTCTGTCTTAGTTTCTGACACACTTGGTACTGTGTAATGGCAGACAGCCTACCATGCACTGGGGAGTGTACTAAGTGTGAGAAATAGCTGAGTCCTTCCTTTAGCAATCTGAAGGCCTGGGTAAGGAGCAGTTATAAAACAGGTTGAGAAGTATAAGTCATGTGAGAGAATTAATTCTGGAGGTGGTTCTTGCATGACAAGTAAGCGTTTGTCAGACAGACCCAGGTAAGTGGGGTGGAGAACTTTGTGGCAGATGCTAGGGAGGATATCCTAAGTCAAAAACCTATTTAAAGGTACAGAGGTATTAAGTAGCTTGGTATGTACAGGCAACTTGAGGTGTAAAGGAGGCAGTGAGGGCCAAATCTTGAAAAGCATAGTTAATCTGTCATCACTAATAATATATTTTGAACATTCACTCTGAACCAGGCCCTCTGCAAAGCCTTTAATCCTCACAATAACCTTCTGAGGTTGGTACTGTCAGTATTCCCATTTTATTTTATTTTATTTTATTTATTTTTAAATCATAACTTTTTAACTTAACTTGAATACATTTCAGTTTATTTTTCGACTCAGATATCTACATTAGAAAACATTTTAAAAATATTGATGTTTGAAATATGTAATGTTAATATGTAACAAGTTTTTATTAGGTTAAAAATCCCAGCAGGGAGCCTCCAAAATGTTAGGTCGGACCTGCTGGGTTCGTGGTGTATGATTCAGTGCTTCACAAAAGATGCAGAGAATTGCACAGAAGTTAGATTGGAAAATATAGTTTATTTAGAAAGTAAATTAGAGAGAGAGAGAGAGATTCACCTCCCCAAGGTAGGGGAGGGGGCCAAAGCCAAGAAACATGGAGCCCATAGCTCAAAGAGCCACATGGACACACAGAGTTTAACAGAGCAGTGATGAGTAGTCCCATTTTATAGGTGAGGAAACCAAGACTTGACATAAGTAATTAGCCAAGGGAACACTGCAGCAGAACTGAGATCCTGACCCAGGTCTCTTCACCTCTTCCAAAGCTCCTCCAATTAACCCTGGGTCACACTGCAACCAGGAGTTACTAGAAGGGTTCAGAAGAATAGATGTTCAAATAAAAGGAGTTCTTTAAAACAAAAACTAAGTATACACTTGCATATGATAACTATATATAACATTAGAGTGGCTAAATAAGTAACACAACCTACCGTTCCTCATTTCGGTGAAAGGCAGTAATGGAGTAGAATAAAGTATCCAAATTAAGAGGTTATTAACAGTCAGTTCTGTATAGTTGTTTATCAGTCAGCAGACAGCGAAGGAACATGCCCTTCCCCTTCTCGTGGGCCAGGGAGGGTCCACTGGTGGATAATGACAGGGCTTCTGCTTGCCAAGAGCTCTCTGTTTCAGAGGTTAGGCCTGAGATAGGCCACACTAGAGGAGTGAGTAGGCAAGGACAGGAACTTGGGAAAAGGGGCTCTACGGAGTGAGATTGTGAGCCATGAAGTCAGACAGACTGGGGTTTAAATCCATGCCCTGGCATTTGCTTTCTGGGTGTCTCCTTGTGCCTCACTTTTCTCATCTGGAAAATGAGAGTAATAATAGTACCTATCTATCTCACAGATTGTCTTAAGAATTCAGTGAAATAATATAGTGTAAAGCTTTAGTAGGTGTCACGCTTTTGCTCCATGAATGAGATACAGCAACACTGTGTATTATGTAAATAATTTTCTCTAGAGTTCCCAGATCAACTCTTTTCTCTATAGACCAGATAAGTCACAAATACCAAGGTAAGCTACAAAAGTTGGATGATACAAATAACAACTTGATGTCCTATAATGTGTCAAACTTAATTATTCAGAGAGAGAGTTTAATATAGTTGTCAAAAGTATAGATTCAGGAGCTAGACTGTCTATATTTAAGTCCTGGCCCTACCACTTGCAAGCTATGTGACCTCTCTGGTTTTTGGAATTGTTTCTGAAGAATTGATACTAACTTTTCTTTACAAGTTTGGAAAAGTTCAGCAGAGAAGTCTGGCCTGGGCTTTTCTTTGCCAGTCATTTCTGGATTACTCATTCAGTCTCCACTGTTGTCCCTTTCTTCTTGAGTCAGTTTCAGTAGTTTGTCTTTAAGAATTTGTTCATATTATCAATTTGTTGGCATGTAATTGTTCATAGTATTGTTTTCCTTTATAATCCTTTTTATTTCTGTAAGGCCAATAGAAATTTCTTCTCTTTCGTTTGTGTTTCTAGTAATTTCAGTCTACCCTCTTTTTCTCTTGGTCAGTGTAGCTAAACATTTGACAGTTTATGTTTTTCAAAGAACCAGCTGTTTTGTTTCATTGATCTCTCTCTACTGTTTCTCTGTTCTCTATTTTGTTAATTTTCACTCAAAACCGTAATGAGGTATCATTTCACATCCACGAGAATAGCTAGAATTTAAAAATCATATAATAAGCATTGGCAAGAATGTGGAGAAAGTAGAATCCTTATACGTTGCTGGTGGGAATGTAACCCAGTGTTCCTTAACTGTGAAATGACTGAAAGTTGGTTTTAAAAAACAATATGGTTAGTTTTTTTTCAAAAAGGAATCATTGGCAGATGACAGTGGGTAACTGAAGCAATGAGAGCTTGAATCGTGTCTAACAGTGGCATTAATTTTGCTTTTCATATATGAAAGAAATAAATTTTTCCAAAGGGGCTTCAGCATTATTTAAGATTCTTCTCTGTAACTGGAAACTTAAAGCAGACATATACACATATTTCTTCGTCACCATCTAAAGAAAGATACTTTTTATACTCCATTAAGATGTTTTGAGTTAGGAAAGATTTAGGAGTTAACTTGCTGAAGCATTTTGAATGCTCACTGACTGACAGTAAGAGACCACTTGAACACCTGAACTACCAGTTGCATGTATGTTTTTGCAATGAAAGTGAGGCTGCTTTCCAAATCTTAGCCAGGCATTTCCCTGATCCCTGGGCAAAGGGTCTGTCAGCATCAGATGCTCTGAAAAGGAGGGTCCTGCCCCAGCTGAGAAAATATGTAGCCCAAATCTTATGGTCCATTATTCTTTTATCATCAGGACTTACATCATCATTGCAGAAAACTTACACTAACACATCCATGTAAGGGAATGTTTAAAAACATCAGGTTCTCCCAGTTCTTGAACAAAACTCACTATTGGCAAGGCCACATCCACAAGTGGGAGAAGGCAAAGTCATTGCTCAGGTTTCAAGTTCCTGGTATTCTAGAATGCCTAACTCACTGTGATTTAATTTGATTAATTCTGCCTTCTAACAAACTGAATATTTAAGTTTTCATAAAATTTGACCAATGCTATGTTAGGTTTGAAAGAGAAAACAGTAGGTTCTTGAACAACCTTCACCTTTTCTTTATCCCCAAGTCTCCCTCTCTAAGTTTATTTTATTTTTTTAAATTTAACTCTATGTTTTTGAAAATATCCTTACCCTGCTGGGTAAGGTAGCTCATGCCTGTAATCTCAGCATTTTGGGAGGCCAAGGCAGAAAGATTGCTGAGCCCAGGAGTTCAAGACCAACCTGAGGAACACAGTGAGACTTTGAGTCTACAAAAAAAATTTAAAAATTAATCAAGCATGGTGGTGTGCGCCTGTAGCCCCTAGCTATTCTTGAGGCTAAGGTGGGAGGATGCTTGAGCCCAGGAGTTTGAGACTGCAGTGAGCCATCATTGTGATACTGCACTCTAGCCTGGATAACAGGATATGACTCTGATTCAAAAAAAAAAAAATCCTTACTTAGCTATTTCTTGATTTATCAGGTTTAAACCTTGTCTTTTTTTTTTTCCTTTGTAGTGAAGTTTTCTTAAGTTTTGGTAAAATACATATAACATAAAGTTTACCATTTTAACCATTTTTAAGTGTGCAGTTCTTTGGCATTAAGTACCTTCCCATTGTTGTGCAACCATCACCACCATTCATCTCCAGAACTTTTCCACCTTTCCAAACTCTGGAAGAACTCTGTCCCCATTAAGCACTAGCTCCCATCCTTCTCTTTTCCATAGCCACTGGCAGCCACCATTCTGTTTCTGTGAATTTGACTACTCTGGGTACCATATATAAGTGGAATCATATAATATTTATCATTTGACACTAGGATTATTTCACTTAGTGTAATATTCTCAAGGTTCATCCCTATTACAGCATGTATCAGAATTTTCTTCCTTTTTAAGGCTAAATAATATTCCATTGTAAATATAACACCATATTTTATATCTTTATCCGTCAGTGGACATTTAGGTTGCTTCCACCTCCTGGCTATGAGTGATACTGCTGTGAACTTGGATGTACAATATCTAAGTCTCTACTTTTTATTCTTTTGGATATACGGTTGGTCCCTGACTTAAAATAGGTGGACTTAACATTTTTTGACTTTGTAATGATGTGAAAGCAATATGCATACAATAGAAATCATACTTCAAGTACTTATATGACGTTGTTTTTTCACTTTCATTTGTTTAGTAAATTACATGAGATAATTCAACACTTTATTATAAAATAGGCTTTGTGCTAGATGATTTTGCCCAGCTGTAGACTAATGTAAGTGTCCTGAGCACATTTAAGGTAGGCTAGGCTAAACTACTATGTTCTATAGGTTAGATGTATTAAATGCATTTTTGACTTATGACATTTCAACTTATGATGATTTTTCAGGA